ATGACATTGCTTTCATCTGCCCCCAACGAGTAATTCTCCTGACAGCTTCAGGTCCTGCAGCTTTTTTGGTTATTAGGAGTCTAACTTTCCCTGAGGCAGCAGATACTAAAACCTTTCAAGAGCTGACGGATTTAGTCCGGAATATTACGAACCTAAGTCTCCTCTACTTCTGAGATGCTATCCGTTTTACTCAGCAGTTTCAGAACCGGGGAATCTGTGTTGGGATTTTTGACTAGGTTAAGACAACTGGCATGTGACTTTGGTTTAACCCTTAATGAGATGCTGAGAGACCTTTTGGTATGTGGGACTAATGATGTAACCATGCAAAAGCACCTACTAGTTGAAGCCCAACTGGACTTCAACAGGCACTACAACTGGTTTTGTCATTAGAAAATGTGGCAAGTGGAGAATGAGATTTACAGGGTATACACTAATGGAAGTGGACACCCTTGCCAAGCTGACTGACCTTGAGGAACATCACTTGAATGAATGTAATTGCATAGCCTCACTCAGGACATATCCTAAACAGAGGAACTCTAAGACAGCCCACAGCAAAACCCCAAAACAAAGGCAAGCCTAGGCCAAACGGTTAGACTTTTCTTCAGGATCTGGGCCAGCAAACCATTGTGGTTGCTGCCAGTATGCTGACTCGAGACAGCAAAGGAGTCCCACTAGGCTTGAACTAAGTCAGAAAACTCATAGGCCAGTATCCAGGAGAGTGAAAACCCTGGAAAGTCCACCTACATCTGGTTTGGAATAGTTAAAATTGCTTAGCAACATCCAAATCAGAACTAATCAAAATAAATGTCTGATTAAATGGTCACCCGGTTCTAGTACTGATGCGCCTGCATCAGTGATTACTGAACCAGTCTTTAACAAAATTCGTTCTGGACTCCAACCCTTAAGTTTGCATAAGACTCAGCCAGTCTGAGAACCTATACTGGGTAATTTTTACAGATTACGGGTACAACTTTGGTTCTAGTCTCGTATGAGCAGCAGCTGGTTCAATTACCACTGATTATAGTAAAAGGCTCGGGCCCAAGCTTGATGGGGTGAAATTGGTTGAGAAAGATTCACCTAGGTTGGCTCAACATTTTTCGATTAGAAAATGGCTGCCTGAGTGAAGACCTAATTAAATACTCGGAGGTCTTTCAGGAAGTTCTCGGGACTATCAAAGGAGCCAAGGCCACCTTGCATGTTGACTAAGAAACAATTCCACGATTCTGTAAGGCCCACGCAGTGCCATTTGCCTCACAGGAACAGGTAGAGGCAGAAATCAGGAGGCTGGGAAACAAAAGAATCATCAAACCAGTCCAGTTTGCAGAATGGGCAGTACCGGTGGTCCCGATTGTGAAGCCCGATGGGTCAGTTCGCCTTTGTGGGGATCTTAAACAAACGGTAAACCACTTCTCACAGCTGGATGAATACCCAGTCCCTCGCATAAAGGGCATCTACACCACGCTGGCAGGGGGCTATCTTCACGAAGCTGGACATGAGCCATGTGTACTTGCAATTTTGGTTAAATGAGGATTCCCAGAAGTATGCTACAATTAATAACCATAAGGGTTTGTACCAATATATGAGACTGCCATTTGGGATATCATCAGCCTGTGCCATTTGCCGCGGATGATGAAGAACATTTTACAAGGTCTACCCCAGATTGCCATTTATCTGGATGAGGTGCTAATAACAGGGAAGACCAATAAAGAGCACCTAAGAACTTGGCCTTGGTCCTTCGAGGTTTCTCCAAGGCAGGCGTATCACTAAGAAGGGCAAAGTGTGTGTTCTAGGCACCCCAAGTGACCTCCTTGGGCTACAGAGTCAACAAGACTGGGTTACGCCTGTTGGAAGATAAAGTGAGGGAGATCAAAGGTGCCCCGGCTTCCATGTCTGTACTGGAGCTTAGGTATTTCCTTGGATTGGTGAATTATTATGGAAAGTTCATACATAACCTGGCCTCCACCCTGACACCTTTATATCTGCTGTTGAAAAAGCGTCAGCCTTGGAAATGGTCTCATAGTCAAGATGGAGCCTTTAGGGAAGTGGAGCAGCAGCTATCATTGTGTAAGGTGTTGGCATACTACGATCCCAAGCGAGATCTAGTGCTGGCGACGGCTCCCCATACGGTTTCGGGGTAGTGTTGGCTCACAGATGGCCCAATGGAGAGGAACGCCTGATAGTGTATGCTTCCCGGACTCTGGCTGATGCAGAGTGCAAACAAGCCTGGCTAGAGAAGAAAGGTTTGGCGGTCATCTTTGGTGTGAGAAAGTTCCACCAATACCTTTACAGGCATAAATTTGTAAAAGTAACAGACCACAAATCCCTGCTAGGGCTACACCAGGTCGCCTGTAGCTTCATGTCAAGTTCAGGTGGTGGGCTCTCATTCTAAGTGCATACAATTACAAGTTGGAACACCATCCGGGAGGCCAAGTTGCAAATGTGGATGCTTTGAGCCACCTCCAGTTGGCAGATACACTACCAGTAGTGACACCACTGGAAGAGTCCATTCTGGTTTTAAACTTTCTGGATCCAGAGCTGGCAAAACTAAAACAGCTGGTGGTGATGGGAGAAACAAAAGGGCCATCACCACCAGAACTGAAACCTTTCTGGACCCAGAGAGACCAGATCACCATAGAGGACGGCATATTATTATGGGGAGCAAGAGTGATTGTCCCAAGTAAAGGTCACCACCAGATACTGGCTGAACTCCACCTGGATCATCCAGGGTTTCCAAAATGAAGACATTAGCGAGAAGTTATGTCTGGTGGCCAGGATTGGATGCAGACATGTCCGCATTGGTGGGGCAGTGCCTAGAGTGCCAACAAAGACAAAAGTTACTGCCAGCAATTCCCCACATTCATGGGAACAGCCGGGTAAACCCTAGACTCAGTTACACGACCACAATGGAGGTCCTTTCATGGGCTCTATGTTCTTAGTCATTGTGGATATCTACTCAAAGTGCTTGGACGTGCACAGAGTTTATTAGTCAAACCAGGGGACACCGAGAGAAAAACTGCATGCGTCTGTTGCAATACATGGACTCCGGGAAGTGTTGGTCACAGACAATGGCCCATCATTTACCAGCAGGGAATTCAAGTATTTCCTAAAGCCAAATGGCATTTGGCATGTAAGGACAGCTCCGTACCATCCATCATCCAATGGTCTGGCGGGTAAAACAGTCCAAACTTTGAAGGCAGGCTTAAAGAAACAGCCTACAGCTTCACTCAATACCAGACTGTCCCAGTTCCCATTTGATTATCGGACCACCCCTCATGCAACTACCGGGATCGCTCCGGCAGATTTGCTAATGGGGAGAAGACTCCACACCAGGCGGGGAGGGTTAAATGGCATCAGGAATGCTAATGCCAGACACAAGACTCCTCTAAGCGAAAGAGATGGTTTACTTCAGGGAGGAAGCCGGTGCAGAAGCTGAGGTCCTGCAATGGTCCCCAGCAATATTGGTTAAGAAGGAATAAGAGTGGGTGCTGCTCTGGATTTTTAAAAATATTCATCAACTTTCCACCACCATCGCTACCACCAGCACCTCCTCCTCCTCCTCTCCACCCCTCCCCCAATCACCACCACCTTTGCTGGAAAGTTTAGGTGTACAGATGCTGAGATGCCAACAGGATCAGGCTTGGCTATGATGCCATCTAGGGGTGAACAACCCACTGAGCTTTGCTATGCAGGCTCACAACGAAAAAAACAAGCAAGGAAATGAGGTACCTGAGGGCGGCTGGTGCCCGAGAAAATTTATGCCAGGCTCCAAATTAAAAGTAGGGGAGAAGGTTCAAAACTTAGGAGAGTACAAAATGACTGCGGATTTCCTGCAGACTCCTGCGAAAAGCCACAGACACAACAGTCTCTGAATCCCTCCCATCTCTGTTACTATGTAGGTGTTCTGGTTGTAAGCTTGTATGTCCATCCATCTTGGTCCAACATTCACAGAACAGCTATGACATCAGTGCAAAATTGGTGCACTGCTCACTCACACAACACGTTGACGTCAATCTGGAGTCAGAGTGAGAAAGAATGTGTGGAGCCAGACTCCTCTGGGGGAGGACGTCTCAGTCTCTTTTGCTGCTGTGTCTGTGCCAAACCTGCTCTGGGTTCACACCATACCTGAGTGTCGGTGTGGAGAAAACGTTTTCATTAGGCTTAGAGTGTGGAGGAGGCTTCACTATCTCTATTCTCAAGATTGGGAAGTGTAGGAGGTGAGGACACATTCTCAGCAGTTAGGAGGTGGGGTCTTTTTTAAATTAAAAGCCTGTCATCATTTTGACTCTTCCTGAATAAATTCTTTCTCCAGTAGGTTTGAAACGGTGCTATATAAGAATCAGTACCTTCCTATCAGCTTCTTCTGCCTGCTGTTTTCCTGAAGGCACTGACACCTTTCTTTGTGGAAGGAGGAATTCAAAAGGAAAGTGTTGCTGAAATCAGAATTAATGACCCACAGCAGCGTTTGATAATAAGGAAGGTTGGGGGTGTATATTTGTTTTCTATCTATTCACATTATTGGCTTTCCTGTAGTAAATAATAGCTGCCACCAGCATGGCATGGGCACAGTGCTTGGCACTAAAGGGTTTGTGACTGGGCAGCACAATGCTCTGGAGCTTCAATAGATGGCAACCTTTATGAGGTATTTCAGTAATTACCCTACCTCCTTTTCTTAAAAAAAAATCTATCCCTCATTCTTCACACTGGACTGTCAGTTTGCCAGTACTACAGGAAATAGCCACCAGGAGGCAGTAGAGCCTCCTGTAGCATGATTCACCAACCCCGAGGAAAAAGCATTGGAACATTATGAAGTGGCTTATACACCATCTGCCAGCCTTGAAGCACTGGCAGGGACTATTATGCATTCCCACTCAAACTGGGGGCTGGGTGATCTGTCATGGAGAGGCCAAGCAGGAGACTACAACTCAACAGGAAAACAAAACACATCCAAGGTACATTTCTCCTGCCCTACTTCCCCATGTCAGTGGATATCTGCAACTGACCTGCAGGGGATTTTTGGTGCTGATTGCCAGGACCTGGTATTTAAAGTAACATAGCTCGCAGCTCCATGAGCCTCGCTCGCTGATCCAGCGGATTAGGCACGGCTGGTGAGTGCAGCGCACGGAACCGTCACACCGACAAGGGCTCAGTAAATCACCCTGCAAAATAGATCATAAATAGCACGTTAAACACATGTATTAGGGAAGTTGGGAGAAAAGTGGATAGTCTCCATATAGGTGCTGTACACAGGAAGTCACACGCATTTAAAGAACAAACTTTCAGTCATATCATGCCTTTTGTGACCTCAACACAAACCAAAGCTCTTTATAGCCAGTGAAATATTTTTGAAGTGCAATCACTGTTCAAAACTCCCCGAAATGTGGCAGCCAATTTGCACAAACAGCAATGCGATTTACTTTTTTTATTGAAGGACAAATATTGGCCAAGACATCAGTGAGAACTCCTCCGCTGCTCTTCCAGTGGTACCATGGATTCATTTACACCAGGCAGAGAAGGCAGACAGAACCTTGGCTCAACGTTTCATCTAAAAGACAGCACCACTGACAACGCAGCACTCTCTGAATACTGCACTGGTCATGGCTGCCTGGATTTGGGGCTCAAACTTCTGGAGTTGGATGCATGAGCCACGCTTGATACATGCATTGATCTATCCAATGGTTAAGAATTTCTATTTGGTTCTTTTTTGATGTGGAGATGAACTATGTTGCTCCTGTCATCTCCAACATGTCTCAGTGCACACAGATCCACATCAACTGCGATAACACAGCCCACACATACACAGAGTCTATTATTATCCATTCTAGATGGCACAATTACAGATGACATCCCCACAGGGATTCTGAATCGCAACAGCCCTGTTATTTTCACACTATGTTTAAAAAAAATTTATTTAACAAGAACTCACATCGAGCCACATGCTTTCCTTGATCCGTTCTTTTTTAATGAGATGTATTCTAGTCAAACACCTTCCCCACTGCCTCAGCCCCCCAGTGTGACTCCTTCTGGGATACAAAAGCCCTCCAGGTATCCTATGAAATTGACATCTTCATGTGTGAGCCCAGTGAGGTTTGCCAGGCTGTTCAAGCGTGACCTGCATTGCAGCCCAGTCAGATGCCAATATTATCCAAAGTCTAGACACACAATAAATTTTTCAAACAGGGTGGGAGATCACTGGGTAGTGATCAAACAAAAATCTCTGACTGACTGTAGCACTTGTATATTTGCAGGCACCTCCATGTAAAAAGTTATAAAATATATTCTCAGGCTGAGGCCCAGTGCTTTTCTTTGTGATCCAATTACCTCGGTTAGTTATAGATCTCACCAAATGGTTATTTTCATTGCTTGCCTTTAGACTATGAATTCCTCCTATTTTTCCCAGTCCCAATTGCACTTCTGTTGAAAGGAGAGGGTATCACTGCCAAACCATGGCTCATTTCTTTATAAACAATTGCTGGGAACACCTGATAACCTTGAAACCCATTGTTTTGTTACTCGTAAATGTGGTCTAATGAACTTCCATTTATATAACTCCTTTTACAATTTCAAGATGTCCCAAGGCAAAGAAGTACTTTGAAATATAACTCACTCAGAGATAGTAGGAACTAGTGGGAGTATTCCATCACATTCCTGACTTGTGCCGTGTAGATGATAGACAGGTTTTAAGGAGTCAGGAGATTAATTATTTGCTGCAGAATTCCTAGCCTCTGACCTGCACCTGTAGCCACAGCATTTATATGGCAAAGATAACAAGGTGTAGAGCTTGATGAACACAGCAGGCCAAGCAGCATCAGAGGAGCAGGAAAGCTGATGTTTCGGGTCTGGACCCTTCTTCAGAAAATTTATATGGCAAGTCCAGTTTAGTTTCTGTTCAATGGTAGGCCCCAGGGCATTGAGGATAAGGGATTCAGTGATTGCCCTTGACATTCAATGGTATTAAAATGGTTAGATTCTCTTTCTGGCTGGAAATGTCAGTGCCCAGTACTTATGGATATTGTCCAAGTCTTGCTGCACATGAATATGTGCTGCTTCAGTATCTGAGGAGTCGCGAATGGTGCTGAACATGTGCAATCATTGGCGACAATCCCCATTTCTGACCTTATGATGGAGGGAAAGTCAATGATGAAGCAGCTGAAGATGGTTGGGCCTAGGACACTATCCTGAGGAACTCCTGCACAGACATCTTGAAGCCGAGGTGACTGACCTTCAAGATCCACCAACATGTTGCTTTGTGCCATGTATGACCCCACCCAATGGAGAATTGTCCCTAATTCCGATTGACTCTAGTGTTGCTAGGACTCCTTAATGCCACACTCAGTCAAAAATGGCAGTCACTCTCACTTCAACTCTGGATTTCAGCTCTTCCGTCCATGTTTGAACCAAGGCTGCAAATGACTCAGCAGCAAAGTGGCCTTGGCAGAAACCAAACTGAGCGTCAGCGGCAGGTTATTATAAAGCAATTTTCCACATTATTGCACAGATGTCCCTGTTGTGGCAGTACTACATAAGCATTTGATGATAAACGTTGCACAGGACACCAAGGAAAACTCCATTATTGTGCATGCAATAATGCCATGTGTTGCAAAGTTATGTAAAGTACTTGTGAATTGGAAGGCAGGAAGTTAGAATTTGTTTGTAAAAATGATAGGGGGGTGAATGCGTAGTCCCTTCAAGAGGTGATGCACTTTTCTAAGCTTGGAGATTTAAACAAAATGTGTCTGTAAGCAGCTGAAGAGGTACAGACAGTTCTGAAATTGAAACAAGTATCAGTTGGCTGTGTGATTGGAAACCTTAGGCTTGTTTTGATGTTTTGGCAATGAGCTTGAAGATCAGCCAATTCATTTAAACCAAGCACTTAGAGATTGGAAACCAAATGAATTTAAATCTGATGGTTTTGACAACCTCGGACTAATTCTATGATAAGAAAATTGACAGGTCATTGGGAGTATATAGGAGGGCTTTTGAAAATCGGTGTGAGAGTGAACTGCCATCTGAAGAGTAAATATCTGGCTCTCACAGAAATCTTTAAGCTCTCTGAGAAATCACCGTCTATACATAAAGGTACCACGGCACTCCTAGCTAAGACTCCTGACAGAAGAATTCATAGAGAAAGCATTCCTGACAGAAGGATCAGCGGAGAAGGCAAAGAACATTCCGAAAGACTTAACCTGGCCGTACTTTTGAGAGATAGTAGGAACTGCCAATGCTGGAGAATTTTCTGAAGAAGGGTCTCGATCCGAAACGTCAGCTTTCTTGCTCCTCTGATGCTGCTTGGCCTGCTGTGTTCATCCAGCTATACACCTTGTTATCTCTGTACTTTTGAGAGTCTAAGCTTTAATTTATTTTAATTATTACTTGAGCTTATACAAGTGGGACTTGTGTTTATTGGAGCAGCATACCAGTAGAATTTTGTTCAGCTATGGAATAGTTAGTACTTAAGGGAGAATTGTTCGATTTGTTAGTAGTTCTGTTAATATGTTCACTGTTAGGGTTAAATAAATAAATTGTTATTTATTGCTTATAAAGTGAATATCAGGGATTTTCTTTCATTTAACCACTCCTTTTTAACAGATTAGATGAGGTGAGGCAAGCTTCTCTGGGTGTTTCGGATTTAATTATTAGAAGGGGACCTGTACTCCCACCATAATATTGGGGGCTTGTATTTTGATTTTAATTATCAGAGGGGTTCAAACTCCCTTTCCTAAAAGACTGGGGGCTCGAGTCTGGGATCTTAGAGAGATTATTTTGCTGGAGGAGTTTAAAAATTCACTTCCAGAAGTGATAAGAACTCATGTTGAGGAACAGAAAGTTCAAACAGTGAGAAGAGCTGCAGAGATGGCAGATGAATATGCATTAGTGCATAAATTGAAACCTAGCTCCCAACAGCAATTTCACTTCGTGAGGGATAGAAATTGGGAAAAAGGGAGATCCTTCAATGAGAGACAAAAGGTATATCATACCGGGAACAGTTTATCACATGAAGAATCCAAGAGGGTGAAAAGGAGGTGAAAGGCCTCAGGTATTGACACTGTAATAGAGGGGGATGCATAAAGTCACAGTGCTGGTGGTTTAAGAAAGGCCCTGGGAAAAAGGATGTGATAAAAGATGCTAAACCAGTGAGATTAGTTAAGGTAGTGAAGGAAATCCCAATAGAATTCGAGGAGCTGCAGGAGAGTGCACAACCTCATCACGGGCTGGATAGTGAGATGGTGCTCGATCTCTACAAAGACTTCACCTCTGTGGGTAAGGTTTACTCAGGAAGAACAGAGGGAGAAGGTAAAGCAGTTAAAATATTGAGAGATATGGGAGCTGATCAGTCCCTAATGGTAAGAGATGAAAGTATCTGCACCCCTTCTGAAATGTTACCCGAGAGAGTGATAATCTGTGGAATAAATGGAGAGAGATTTAGCATTCCCCTGTGTAAGATAAGGCTGGAAAGTCCAATTAAGATTGGGGAAGTGACAGTGGGAGTGATTGAGAAAGTGTCTATTCCAGGAATACAGTTTGTTCTTGGAAACAACCTAGCAGGGACAAAGGTGAGAGTGATGCCCCTTGTAATGGAGAAGCCAAAGGAAAACCAAGGAACTGAGGAGTTAAAAGAAAAATACCCTGGAATTTTTCCAGACTGTGTGGTGACAAGATTCCACAGTCATAAGTTAAAGCAAGAAGGGAAAACCAAAGAGAAAGACGAAGGAGTTGAGGTCCACTTAGCTGACACCCTGTTTAATGAAATGGTAAAGGAAAAACCTGAACAGGTAGTGGATCAGGCAGAGGTGTTTAGTTCTGAAAGACTAATAGAGTTAAAACAAAAAGATGAGACAATAAAAGATTTATATGATAAAGCCTACTCAGTAAAGGAATCCGAATGTATTCCCAAATGTTATTAAGGATAGGAGCCTAAGGTGAAAATTCAGACAGCAGCAGGTTAGTGCAGAGGAAAAATGGGCAGAAGTTCACCAGATTGTGTTGCTGGTAGAATACAGACAAGAAGTATTGTGGGTAGCACGCAAATTACCTGTAGGAGGTCATCTAGGAGTGAGGAAGACTCAGGCTAAGATACAGAAGCATTTCTATTGGCCTGGATTACATAAGGATGTGGTTGAATGTTGCCATACCTGTCATACATGTCAAATGATAGGAA